TTGTTCACAAACCAATGAAGAGCTGGTCCTTCAAAGCCTGTAGCAGCATAATGAATCATTTGACCTTCATTTTTGATATCTTGTGCATACAGGATATTTTTGGTTTGACGTAGCCAAACTTCTACATTCTCATCAGATTCCCCTTTAAAAGTAGGAATTCTAAGTGCAATCTTTGGTGGAGCCATATTGGCAGAGCTGGAGCCATTAGCAACTGCCTTGCCTTTGTCCTGTATCTTTTTCATTTCATTGACAAAGGTGTTCATAAATTGTGCAAATTGATCAGCATCTATTTTGTCAATTTATTTAGAGATAGTTGTAACTGTATATAGATTTGAATACAAAATCATTTCATATGCTACGATTCTAAATGTATAAATATCTACTGCAGGTGTGTAAGAATGATCACACAAGATTTCGGGTGCAATGTATAGAAGAACCCTCGTGAGTTTTGTTTTCTTGAGTTTTATCAAATATTTTGCAAAGACTAGATCTGTGATCCTTAAGAACAAGTAATCGTCATATAAAATATTACCAGGATGAAGGTCTCTACAAACTAATTTCTCTTCGTGCATTTCATATAAACCTCATGAAATACAATGAAATTATTTTAATTTAAAATTTAAATCCATCTTGTAAAAATTTTTGTCCAAGCAATTCCCACGACTGTCATCTTCTTGAAAACTAAAAACCTTCATGTAACATAATAACTTTGGTTGTTGCGTAATCTCATAGCACTCAACAAATTGACTGTATCATAGAATAGAATATTTTTCAATCTAATATTTAAAATTAATCATAATGTATCAATAATATCAATAATAAAACTATAGTTAAACGAGGTTTAATATTCTTTACCTCATGAGTAATATCGTCAATCGAGCTAAGCTTATTTAACTTTTTAATGCTACTGTACTTTCTCCCTAGGTAACCTAACCCATTTCTTATTGAGAACATTCCAACTCCTAATAAACCCATCTTTCCATGCTGCATAACAGTGCCATGTTCTCCTTTAGCGATATATTTGATATCTTCAAATAGTGTAGTACATCATCATTATAATTAGCTTGAAGCCGAGACTTATGTATAAGCTCGTCGATTTTTGTTATCTTAACTTGTCTATTTTTCAATATCTTGTCGAAAGTGAATTCCATTGCATCATCTGTTGAGTGGTGTAAATGTTTGATTTAATTCGCAATAACAGGTTTTCCTTTTTTTTTGTATTTGGGCTGACTTCATGGGCATAGAAATTTTATTAAAATTTTTACTAGGGCTAGACTAATCATAATAAAAGTTTGATAAACCAATTTTATTAATCAATAAAATTCATAAGATCTAGGTAAATAGGAACCATTTAAAGTTCGAAGGAGTATCACTAACACGTCCCCTATTCATGCATTCCTTGGTGCCCTCTTCATCTTCTATCGCTTGAATCAGCTCATACAGTAAATACGCGATCGGATAGTTTCCTGTACTCATCACACTACCATAACTATCGGTCGCTATCATGCCAAAGATTTTTGTCATGATGCGAAAATAAATTATGTAATTGGGACTCAAAAACCAACTTCTAATTGTCCGAAGGACATTAGATGCATTAACTATGAATAAGTTATACTGTATAATAAAGAACTTCGTTAAATTGATATGCTGCTATTACTTATGTATCACATGATCGGAAGGTACACACATCCGGATCATTATTGCTGTACATTAGAGTGTCCTTCGGACAACTATGAAATAATTTATAAAATCAAACAATCTCAGAGAATGTCCTCATAAACTTTCTTTCCCAGTTGGTCATCAAATTCAATGTCGAATTCTATGTCTTTAACTTTGAGTATTTTTCCTACACGATCATTATGTTTTAACATAAGTTTAGATTTTTCATGATTTGTGTTGTTTCCACCGCGTATGCCACCATATTTAATAATTATATAAAATCTTCGAAATTGGGACTCTCCAACAAGATCTCCCCAATAATAATCACCACAAATTCCGTAAATAAAAACCACTATCAAAGATTTGTAACCTTGTTCCTCCATGTTAACGTAGTAAAAATAAGCATCTTTTAAATAATTTAAAATTCTGGAAATGTAGATTAAATTTGAAGCAAATATTAACTTTTTCCAATAATAATTGTTATCCGAAAGTAATGCCATGTTTAACATCTGAATAAAAGGAATATAAAGCATGAGAAAAGAAACACCAATTCCTTCATATATATTTAAATATAGTTTGAATTCAGAAAAAGATCTTTTTTTGAATAACCCGTCTAAAGTAGTAAGCACGCCGTCGCATATTATACCGAGACTAGTCATAATTCCGCTAACCGCGTGTAAATATGTAAATATTTTTGACTCGCTTGTATCAATGGCACGAGAATAAAATAAAAAACAGAGGTCCGAAACTACATGAACCCAAAGAAGATTCATATAAAGTGAATTACTAATAGCTTGGGTAATTTTTTTAATAACTCTTATCTTGACTATAAAGATCACGACAACAAATGCTGTTATACTATAAAGTGTTATGACCCACAATGGCGTATTTTGTGTTTCTCTGCTTTTTACCATGACAAAAATTGGTAGAATATAAAGAGTCAACAAAAACAATATGTCATCAAAAAAAAGTTTAATTTTGAACCAATGTATGTTGTTTATATTATCGATGTTTATATCGAATAATAAGACGATTATTAGTGGAATAACTACGCTAATGAACTGATCGAACAAGTCAGGCATCAGGTCGTCATTATTCGCGTAAGCCGAAAAGAAAAAGGAGTTTAAAGTCGCAATGAAAAGATAAAAAGTGAGATACATTATCGAAAGTTTGAAGATTTAATAACAAAAAATTATTGTCTTTATATAAAAAAATACGTTCTCCTTACCTCATGTATGCAACACTCCTACGGCACTTGAGAACTTCTATATAAATGCAAACATGTGACTTTATTGCTGATCAAACCTTCGATTTCCGAAATATAAACTGAAATAAAATCCGATCACCCAAAACATAGTACTGTAATTCGTCTGCACGAGTGCTGCAAGAATGCCGTAGGGGTGTTTCATACATGAGGTAATGAGAATACTCCCATGTCTTTTATTTTGGGAAAAATATCTCTGCTACTATAGTATAGGCAGCATCATTGCTAATCCTATTACAACATTTTAACCAAAAATGCCATTAAAGTTGTTATACTGAAATGAAAATTGACAAATTTATAGGAACAAAATAGCGAATATTTCTAAATTATCTACTTCAATAAAATACCCACAAACACTATGAATGTTTAATTGTTTTGATGATGACACGTATACGGATTGTCGATCGACGGAAGAAGATTTATTACAGTGTCAGTTACTGTATATGTACGTATGCGTAAAAAAAGATGTAAAGAAATTAGATAATGGTGGAAGTTTAAATATTTTTTTTATTATACTCTTATAATCTGTTTTTATAATTTCTTAATAACGATGGAGATATACTTTATTCACAAATCTTCATTAGATCATCACTCTTAGGGTTAAATATCAAGTAATAGGATTACATTAAAGCTTTTGTCATGTTATTATGCGAAAAGTGTGATATACCATGACTAAGAAAGAGCTGCATATAAATATATTTGAAAAATAAAAGTCAAAGGAAAAAAAATAAATCTCGACTTATTTTCGAGTAAAAGAATTAACAATTTGAATTAAAAAATGTAATTTAAAATATATCATATGTAGTAAAACTTGTACCCACAGACTGATAGTTAATTCTCTAAACGCTGTATATCATATTATGAAATAACGCATAGAATTCAGTGACAAATTAAAAGTCAAATAAAATTAAATGAATTATAAATTTAATTAGAAAAGTGTTTTAAGAAAAAAAATTAGAAATAAACTTACAGTTCAAGAAATAAATAATCGCGTGATCGTTGTAGAAAGAAAATAAGCATGAGAAATCTATGCTTATATTCTAGTAATATTAATGAAATAAATTATAAAATCGATTTGAAGTATCTTTTTAAAGAAATAATACAGAACACTTACATCCTATAATTATATAAATTAAATAGATCGAATGAAGAATATTTTAAGCAAAAAAAATGATAAAATTAAGCTTACCACCTAATAGTTTATAAAAATAAATTAGATTAGAAAATTAGAGTCATGTTTGCTAAGATGACAAATATAACAATATCTACCCGTACTCACGCCCTAGTGATTCAAATAATAAATAATAAAATCGAGTAGGAAAATTGTTTAAAATATAACAAAACTCAAACTTACGAACTATAATAATTATTTAAAGAAATAGATCAGAGATATGTTTCTAAGAAATAACAAAATACCATAAAATATATACTTACTTTCTATGGGAATGAATTAATAAAATAAGCAAATTATAGAATTAGAGGAATTATTTTTCAAGAAACAAAATAAAAATACCTATACTTACCCTCTAAGGTTTATTTTTTAAAAAGAAAAACAAATAATTATAAAATCGATCAAAAAAACTTTAAAAAACAAATGTAAGATCAAAGCTTATACTTACTGACTAATAATTCAATATAATAAACAAATTGGTTATTTAATAGACTGAAGAAATGTCTAAGAAACAAACATTATAAAGTTTACACTGACCGGCTAATCGTTCAAAAGAATAAAAATGGATTAGAGAATGTTTAATAAAAAATACAATTAAGCTTATACTTACAAACTAACGATATAATTGTGAATCATAAAATCGGTTAGATAAATATTTTTATGAAATAAATACGATAAAACTAAATACTTAACCATTGCTAATGATTTAATAAATTATAAATCTATTAGAGAAATGTTTAGAAAATAAGTATACTGTAGTAAAACTTATACTCACGGTCTAATAATTAAATTTAATAAATTAATTATGAAATCGATTGGAGGTAACAACAATACGGCAATGACTTTTATACTTACGCCCTTATAGTCCAATAAAATAAAACCGATCAGCGAAATGAGTTTTTTTAAAGAAACAAATACTGTAGCAAACTCATTATTCGTACCCTGGTATTTTAAGAAAATAAATAAATACATCGATTAGAAAGTTGTTAATATCCGTTGCTTAAGAGGAGATAATAAAAGAATTATAAAATAAAGAGTTGGTAAACATTACTTTTAGTAAGCGCAGCTCCTGTCGATTTTTTAAAAAATATGTACTGTGATGTGAATGTCATGACAATAAAGACCTGCATGGATAAAGTAAACGTCGATAGATAATACTTTTAAGATCTCTACGAAATGCCTCTCCTATTTATGAGTTGAGATATTGTTTTTTAGAAAAGGACAGACGTAAATCAAAATAATTTTAAAGTGAAATGGAATTACTAAATTTACTTTTCATTCCATGAGGATTTGCAATTGTGATAGTCAACAGAGTAGCGAGAACTAAAGCAATCAAGAGTTTAATATTCATTTCTAGTAAATGATTCTTCTCGAACAAAGGAAATTTGTCAAAAAGAATTATTCCCTTAAAAAATGAATTTATCGAGGTTTTTATATAAAAGTAAATAGCTCAGAAAAAAAGAAAATTAAACTTGTATCAACGTCAAAGCCATATTCTGTGCACTTTCGTTATCTACTGTACATAAGCATTAAAAATCATCACTTTGATTTTAACCAAATAGAAGCTATAAATTATAGATCAAGCTTTCAACTAGTGAAAATCTCACGCAGATAAGTTTCGAGTCTCGATGGTTCTTACAATTGTGTGAACAACAACCATGAAATATTTAGTATACATCTAACCTCGTGAGTAGTAAGTAATTATTCTCGCTGTCATATCACTCATTAGAAGAAAATAATAAGAAGAATTCCTCCATTATCTCAAACGACTATTGATTCCTTACAATATAATAACACATCTCTTTCAATGTGGCGCGGTTTGTACCATGATGTGACCTGCACCGCCGTGATTATTTTCTGTTGGGCTTCCACCGCTATGATTTGCTTTGATTTGACAATTTATGCCTCCACAATGGTGTAATGTAATATGGTATAATTAATTAGTACGTAATGTGATTTATCTAACCTTTCCGCATTTGTATGATATACAGTATACTGTCATAACTGTTTAATTCTCTTCTGAATGAAGGAAAGACAAGATAGTGTGGCGATGGGGTGAAAGGCCGGAACAAAGTTCAGCTTCATTACAGTATCATGTTCAAAATTGAAATTTATAAATTTATAAATAACAACGAAACTTTTCAACCTTGACTAATATGCTGTATATTATAATTTCAATACTTACTGTATGTACAGACAACTTTACAGCCATTTCTATTTCTTTGATAGCATGGTTTACACAGCCGACGCATCTTTTGTACTTTTAGCAGTGTGGAATGTACAAAGCTTGTCTCACAACAGTATTATCGTGAATTGTAGGCGTGAGTGGGGGAAAACTCCAGTAGGTCGGAAAATCAAGTTTTCGAGCATTAATTTTCCATTATCTTTATTTACTGATTCATTATGATCAAACATGATCATGCACTGTAATAAATTAACAAACTCGTGACTTTCAACACAGACCCTTGAAACGTACATAAAAAGATAGCATATATAATTTTTTTGAGGCGCTTGTTAACAAAATAGTCAGACCTTTTATATAAACACTGACTTTTAAATATTTAAACAATTATCATAAATATTATTTTTTTTAAAAAAAAAAAATGTGAATTCTTTTTTACAGTATATGCAGTGCGTATTTCATATATCCAAAAGAATTATTTGATAATTGGAATTATTCGGAAATAATATAAAAATACATTTTGGAATAAGCTCAAGAAAAGGCATCCTCATAAAATTGAAACTTTAAATTATATGTATTTAAAATTTCTGTACTGCAATAATTAGGCAAAATCAATAATACTTTATTTTTCTTTTTTTTAAAAAAAATAATTCTACTAGAACAAAAAATATTGCACATCTTAAATATATTATCATATTATAAAATACTCTTTCTATGTTTTATTAAATTTTAATAAACACCCATTAAATTAAATACAAAATGTTAATGTTTTTGATTATTTTAATTTAACTATTTGAAATTTATCAGTTAATTTGAAATTTATTTCTTTAAAAAGATAAAATCAGGCATGTAATTTTTAAAAATTTAAATATAATTATTGCTT